ACTTTAATGATATTTGACAAATAGTCGAAATCAATAAGCATACCTTTTCGAATTTCGTGAAGTCGTCATATTTAGAAATGCAGAAGAAATTGATGATGAGGAATGAGATCAGAAATAGAGTGATGCCAAAGATTGCTGCTACAACGACCGGTCCGAAGTAATCGAGCATTTCAAACTCTTGTTTCGCCATCTGAAAAACAATGACTTTGAAAAGTTATAAAACGATTGATGCTACTAGATAGAGACATTTGCAATGAACAACGTTCATTAATGAAGTCCCACTTCCGTCACAAATAAGCCATCTGCAAATGTAACATCAGATATCTCCAAATCTAAGTTTTTGCGTTGTCTTCGATTCTACGTTTTCCCTTTGTCACTTTTCGTTGCAGTGAACAAGTGGAAAACATTTGTCCTTGAAATCGATGCGTTTCAATTTGGGCAAAGCGAGAGTGGTCGCGCTTCAAAAAAAAAGAGCAGATTGTTAAAAAGATATGGTTTCGCATACCCATTTATCTACCATCTATACTATCAATGAATATCTAAGTAGGCTTTAATTACAAAGAATCTATGGAAAGTGAAGATTTGGAAAAAGTAATAGTACAGAAGTTCAAGTCATAGTTCGCGTATAATCCATACTCATGGACTACACTGCAAAATAGCCAACTTCCACAAAATATTGCGCCCAAGACACCAATATTTACAACTACAAAATGTATCTTCCCATGTTCAATAAGATCTATAGAATTTGCTTTTTTACACAAAAGCGCACCTGGCTTTATGATAGCATTGAAGACCTAAATGAGACGACATTAATGCGAAGGAAAGACCTATGAAAAGCCTATTATGGGTTAAATTTCAAAGAATTATATTACTGTTACCGCAATAGAATGGACTTCCTTCTCGGAAAAAAATAGTAGTGCAAAATTCAGCGACAACTGGTATCCAACTGAAAGTTCCAATCTTTATTATCTTTGACTACAGCCATAACTTAGAACAGCAGTAGGTAGCAATTAATGAATAAGTAGACGGTTCTGAGCTCTAACGGAAGAAACAGAAGGACCAGTCCACGCGTTTTGACCTAATAATTTTGTAGGGCAAAATTTAAAGAACTTTATTTTGAAAAAAAGTATGCGGCAAAGAACAGGGAAAACGCAAAAAAAGATCGATAAAGATACTTTTATTACAGTCTTAAAAAAGTGGATTTGAACAATTGCTCTTTTTAC